TGACAAAGACGTGACAAAGACATAACAAAGAAAATTTGATTTAGAGAGATTTGGACAGACCTCTGGGACAGCTCAAAATTTGGCTAGTATCCAATTATGCAGACTTTACATATTAAAAAAGGTGTCTGCTTACCTTATTCTTGTCAAACAGGTGCATGCACGGACTGTCCGAGAGGTCTGCCAACATCTTTTCCGCGTCGGAATATTCAATTTAAACACAAAACAGAGAAAGTGAGGGAGCAAGAGCAAGCCCATCCAAAAGCGAGCCCTTTCAGCGTCCACTGGGATTTCTCCCCTTCCAGATAACGTGCTGTTGCTCCCACACGCCGAAAAAAAGAAACAGAGAAAACTCCCTCAAAACAATCCAGAGAATGGCACACACTGAGCCGCGCATTCTCCACCAAATCTGTTAGGATTTAGCAGACAGAGACGGATCGTGGTGTGCCAAACTCTGGAAGTTTATTTACGTTTCTCTCAAGTTCCACTGGTTTCCTCTGTTTCTTTCTCCCAGACAGAATAAAGGCAGTACACAGTTTATATAGTCATTGTCACGTCACACATCGAAAGACATACGTGTCACAAAGAGACAGTCACATCATAGTCATAACATGGAGTCCTTGTAGAGTCCTTGTAGAGTCCTGCACGTAGGCCATATTGCTATCTAATACTAATACAGTGTATGTCTGTAGTTTAGTATTCCACATGTAAATACACGTTTTGTAAGAGTAATACTTTAATGTCCATTATTTCCCTTCTTTCTAGCTTCATCTGTTTACATTTGATCATAATCTGGCACTGAGCAAAAGATTAATAGAAATCCACTTAATGATTATGTCCAAATGCACTTTCATAAATAACTTATTCTCTCTCTTATATTATACTGTTACAGAGTCTAGAGCATCACATTGAAAATATAAACTTGTGTGAGGGGGGATTTACATCTGTTCTGTTCTGTAACCGTGGTTATTCAAAGACGTACAAATATCTCAAGAATTTTATTACAACAAGCTGTGATTATAATGCATGAATAAATCTAGCGTTTTCAGTTTTGAAACTAATATTTTTGCTTCAGCATCATGTCATTTAAACCACAAATGGCTATTGCAGATTCTTTTTTGAACACAACTGAGTATGGACATTATTGACTAAAGAAATATTACAAGAAAAGTCATTTGTCAACAACACCAAAAGGAAACTACATAATTTGACAATGTTGAGCATCTTGCCGCTAGGTGGATTTATGAAAGTATAAGATGTCGTTATTTCTTCAACACTAACACCCGCCTTCGTGTCCCTGCCGTTACGGGCCGACGGATATCATAACATTAAACAAAAACCATCCCATCTCAAGTCTCCGAGGGTGTTTTGGACTGTCTCTAAATGTTGTATTTACTGTTGATTGTAGCAACATAGCTCTGTAGTATTCATTTCAGAAAACTGCACCAACAAGAAATGGCAACATCAAACTATGAAAGTAATCAGAGATGAGTATGTTTTGTGGTAACTTTATTTACTTTATCGTCGTTTTAGAAAAGGTTATTTAGGATTTTCACTTGTCAGTCTTTCTTTGAATTTCTTTTTAGTTTTAGTTGCTTTAAGTCTGACTTTTCAAAGAGTTGACAGTGACCTCTGTTTGTTTCCCAGGGAACCAACCTGAATCCTCCCATATGGGCGTTCTAAAAAACCTAAATGAAAAATACAGTATCATGTGATTTACAAAATCATTATTCAACTAAGTAATTAATATCCATCTCTTTTAAAATCTCTGAACAATCAAATGCACACAATCAGCTTTTCTCAACAACAATAAAAAAACATGTTTTCTAATAAGAAACAACCAATCTGCTTTAAATAAGTATCTAATTTATGTTTATGAAAAATTTACCCCACCATTAATTTACTTTACTGTTCTTTTGTAACATGACAAATGTATGCCTGTAAATGATCCACATAAAATCAATAATTCAATAATTATGGTAGATTCATATGAAGTCATTTCAGTCTAGAATCATTGACCGTGTTTAGATTTAGTTTAGGTTTTGTGGTGTGACTCTGCTTTCTGTTTAGTTGTGGATCAGGCTTGTTGCTGGTCTTTGAATGCTTTTCCATGTAATTAGCCGTTATAAAACCTTACACACACGCACACACACACACACACACGTGGCGTTGGCATAAACTGAAGTCCTTAGCACACATTCTCTGTTGACACAAATAGAGAGCTGTGTGACTGAAGCTTCTGGGACAGTGTCATTCCCCTGGAGAAGCAAAACGCATCAGGAACATACTAGTGCAGTGTCCATCTAAGTATATATTTCTATAGTGGAAGGTAAGGAACATACTGTAGACTGTATATATTAACGGACAAAGTCACAGCTATCTCCGCCGTTCAAACAAATGGGCCAAAAAATGTGCTTTACTGGAGCTATCCAAAATGGCAGCGAGTGGTCCCGCCCACAAGAAAATTGTGAAAAAAGTAAAACACATCTGCTCATGCGTCAGCCGGCGAGAGCTCCATTCATTTGAACGAGAGACTTCAAAAATGCACAGCGAGTAAACTAGAGTGGTCCAAAAAAATTCACCCCCCTCAGCATTGACACACATGTGGAACAGAGCTTTGGGCCAAGAGCCAATATTTGGACCATCCTGTAAAGACGTTTTCGAGAGGTCTGCCAATGCTATATGTTAGCATTGGCTAATCCTTATTCCGGGTCCACCCCCATCGGCCCGGGGTGGTATTGCAAGCATGTCAGCGCACGTCATTTTGGCCACTTTTGAGCCAGGACCCACACCCACTGGTTAGGGAGGGTTTTCAATTATGCCAAAGGAGGATGTGTTTGGACGTGGGTGTACATACTTTTGCATAGTGTTAATGAATGAATGAATGCCTTTATTAGTCCCATTGGTGAAACTACAGTTTACAAATACCTGTTGACATCACACACACTTGGAAAAATAAAAAGGTATATGATCAGAATATTTATAGGAAACGTTTCCAAACACTCCTCGAAGCCATAACGTCAACTCAACTTTTCTGTGTGTAACGCTATTCTGTGAGTAATAGTAACTTTCTTCTTTCTTGAGTCGCTAAGTAAGATTAAGTAGTAGGTATATAAATAAAGATGACTCTTACTTACTTAGCTGCTGACACGTGGCTTCTCCAGTCCCCTGGATATGGATTAGTTGTGGTTTCGCTTTTTCCCTTAGTTCCACTTTGTATTGATAATCTAACAAGATTATTCTGGTATTATTAACACATATTATTGAGAAAGTACGTTATAATATTAAATCCAATATTAAAAACTAAATGTTTTTTTCCAAATGTTTCGCAACAATCTAAAATAAATGTATTTCTGTTACTGTATATGTTTAAGTCGAATCATTAATGCCTTGATTTCCTTGCACGTAGCTTTGAACGTGTTCATATTGCATCCATACTAGCAGAGCTCAGCAAACATGGGTGGAAAATTGATACATACAGGAATCCACTTGCGCTTTTGGTTAAGTCCCTTGGGACTGACTGGAGTTATAATTTAACTGTAGGGATTTTGCTTCACTGTGGTCGTCTGTTTTCCCATGTCATTTTCATGACCGTGTGTGGCTACAATACCCATGCTGTCCAAAATATGGGCTTATGCTAAATGTACATCACACTCTTGCACTTTTGAACTAATATGTTCTTGCTGTGCAAAAAATTACCCTTAATATATCTTGATAGGCCAAAACCCATTGTAATTTTCACCTTGGGACGTTTGCATTTTGCCAGCGGAAAAATCTCAAACTCTGTGGTTTGATGAAGAGGTGCGAAGCTGCTTGCAGACACACCGCAATATGCACTTACTATAACATATCACCACATTTTAGAAGGAAATTACATATTTGGTAAACCTAAACCTGAATTAATCTGTAAATGTTATCAAGCATAATATGTGTGATCCATTAACCACTGTGTGTGTGTTTGTGTGTGCATGTGCGTGTGTGTGTGTGTGTATCAAAAAAAGTGTTTTATAAAGTGCTGAGTCAACAAGACTTACTTTCAGCCAAATGTCTCTTTAGTATGAAGCAAGAAGTTTCTTTCTACCATTGGGTTCTGCATAAGGATGTGCATTTGCAGCAAGTAGGGCCCAAGTTAATGTAAGTTGGTGGCTCAAAGTGTGCAATGCGGTTGTACTGGACTTTTACACATGAGCCCCTTCAGTGTGAGCGATACCCTCTCAGCATGTGGCTGCTGTGTAGAAGAAGTGGAAGTGTGCGGTTGAACCATGTCATGCGTCCACATAAGGACAACTACATACAGGAAAGAAACCGTTTTCCATATGGATGATTACGCAGCATCCTTATAAGAAAAAAAAAATCTCCAATGCTGAAACTAATTTTTGTAATAATGACTAGTATTTGAATAGTCCCCATTTTAATGATAAGTAGTTGTTTTATCTGAAACCCAATGGCTGTCTGAAATTACAACATCCCTGTGCACATACTGTATGAGATCGATAGCTTTATTACAGACTCGTAGTCCAGAACAGAGATATACAAGACACAACACACTAGAAACAGACAACATAAAACAATAAAAGTCCCCAATTCCATTTGTTTGTATTGAGATAAATTACGTTAAAATTAAATACAGTGGAATTTACAAATAATCAATGCAATTTTATGTTGGGTCATTAGAGTAGCAGTAGCCTTTCCATTTGACTGTATTGATGGAAGTATTTTATGTTATTTAATCAAGCAAAACTACAGGATTCAGAAGTTCATACTTACATGCACTGCTTAAAAATAATAATAAATGTTCCTAATTACAATTTCATCTTTAAAATGTATGCTCAAAATCAAGTGTACATGTTTGCCAGCAAATACTGACCCCTAGTGGTGATTCAGATTCAGGTGGCTTTTTCAAGTGGATGTTTTCTTAATTCCTCCACACTCCACGAAAAATATGTTTTCATATGTTTTCAGTCATTACTAACCATGGTACTTTTTATTTGTTTCTTTCACAGTGATGATTTCGATGAGGAGGGTTTCTGCCAGCCGTACCGGGGGATCGCCTGTGCTCGCTTTATCGGCAACCGCAGCATTTATGTGGACTCTCTCCAGATGCAGGGCGAGATCGAGACGCAGATCACAGGTAAAACAAGCCAACATTCAGCATTGTGTCTGTTTCTCCACAAGAACTAAAACCATTAAAACATAAAAAGTGATATAAATGAGAAATTAAAAACGGGGTTAAAGTATGTCATTGGAAGGCCTGTTTGCATTTGGACTTTAGAAAATATTATGTATTCATTCAATATTTGTTTATTCTATCTATGTTTTTATGTATTTATTGTTTTAATCACTTCAAAGGATAAAAACAGTTATGGGAAATAATGAAGATGTGAAATGATAAAAAAAACAACAAAGAGAAAACCTTGCAAAAAAAGGAAGAATCTTGCTTCTATTAGTTTCTGCTGGGACAAAGCACATGACAGAAGTGAATGTGTTCATCAAGGCCCAGTGATGCGTTAAAAATAGAAAAACATGAATAAATACTGAGAGCAATTTACAGGATGACGACATGAAGCAAAATTCACAAGGGTACTCTATTTAAGAGTATTTATTCATGAAAATGCATCGTTGTCACTTGGAAGTCTCATTCCCCCTCTCTAACATGATGGCCTTCAGAAATGAATAACTGTGTACCTCTGGAAATAATTATTAAAGCTTGAGAAAGGCCTATGATACCTTTGTTCCAATACGGCAACCATACGGATTATGTGAACAGTAGCCCAGATGAGTCCTAATATTACTATTCAGAGCATCCATTTTTTTGTCTATTTTTTTTTTTGTGAGCTGGTTGGGTGTGTTTTTTTTTGTCTGTTCTAATCTGAAAAAGAGTATTACTTTATGATATGGCATCCTAGATCAATAACCAGTGATGCCTCTGTGGATCATGACTTTCCCCCACACACTTTCTTCTCATATGAACAAACATTTGTATTCAAGTGAATGCAATAATACTTTGTTCAATATTCCCCCAAAGTTGGAAGTTGATAAGGACGTGGTCTGAAAGCTAAAGGAAAAGTTACTCACAGGTTCATAGCGTAGGGAAGACACATGGGATTCATATCATGTCCTATAACTGTTGCATATCATTTGCATGTTTTTTTGTGTGCAAATAAACCGATAAAGATCAGTCAGAATGCCCATACACAGGGTCATGAACTGAACCAGCTATCTGAAATAATGTCAACTTAATGATAAGAAGTATAGCCGCTGGTCAAAACGAACATGGGGTATTAATCAGGAATGGAAAATTGCCTGGAGATCTTCAATTTACAAAACCGTCTTTAATGTCACCTTAACCCAACCCAGAAACATCAGAAACTGCAGGCAGCTCTGGATGGGAGCCAGCTGAACTCCAACCACTTTATATTCACTTGTCTAGTCCCCCACCTAGAGCTCCCCACAGCCATATGTTTGTAATAACTGCACCGTGCCACGATGAATCATACACTTATTACTGCAGCTCATTTTCTCCGAGGATTTCTTTGAAGTAATGTGTTTCTATTGTCCTCAAATTATGTACAACTTCCTCCTTTTGCTGTTTGTTTTGTCAAAGGGTGTCACTGTTTTTAGGAGAAACTACAATGTATTTAAGTAAAACTGACTCTAATAGGTTTATTAAGGTGATGATGGATTTTCTGTATTATGTTTGTGAACCTGTACCAAACCCTAGAACATGTTTCTCAGTAAGAAGGTTCTGGGTTCGAATCCCAGTCCAAACAGTGTCTTTCTGAGTGGAATTTACATGTTCTTCCCGTGTCTGCGTAGGTTTCCTCCGGTTGCTCCGGTTTCTCTACCACTAAAAACATATACAATTGGAATGAATATAACGAGTGAGTGAATGGAGGGTGTTGGTTGGAGGGTTTGATGCTCCAGTGTGTTCGGCGTCTCGCTTCCGTCATCACCTTGAATGGAATGGAACGATATCTGAACTCTGAACATTGTACAGTGCTTTGGGTGATCTTGGTCTGTAAAATGCACTATATAAATAAAGATTACTTACTTATTTGTCCAACAGTGGTTGCATGTTGTTGTAGTAGCAACAAATAATCATCGCTGTGCTTTTAATGTTAGAAAAGTTTAAGAATAAAGTTCAAAGAATCAATGTTAATGAAAGAAAAAATAAAGACATAGGAACAATGTTACAACAAATTTAAAAATCCATCCAGACAATTCTACATGTCGTAATAGTGGGGCTCTAACTGCGTCAGATTAAACTGCGTCAGATTAAAAGTTATAATTGTAAGTGCCTCGAGACTGTTTTCATGTAAGATGCATTTTTATATTGTCAAAAGAAAATCTTCATGTACCAGAAAAACTGGTAAAACTTTGCCTTTCGACTCTGTTCCCTCTACAGTGATCCATCCGCCAATTTCACACTCCATCTTTCCCTCAGTCGTGAACAAGACATCGAGATACTTGAACTCCTGCCTCTGAAGGGCCTCTTCACCCCTTGCAGAGGGAAAGGAACTTTTTTCGTGTGGGTTCATCAACATAACAATAGAATAACAATTAAAAAAAATAAGTTTGAAAATGTGTCATATTATGTACATATGTGCCCTTAATGGGTTTGTGAAAGGTAACCTTAAATGGGTTTGTGAAAGGTAAGATCTTAAATGGGTTTATGAAAGGTAAAACTAACTTTTGTGATCTCACCTTTTTTCTCTCCAGCCGCCTTCACCATGATCGGAACCTCCAATCACTTATCGGATCGCTGCTCCCAGTTCGCCATCCCGTCCCTGTGCCACTTTGCCTTCCCCACCTGTGACCGCAGTTCTGGGGCTGACAAACCACGCGACCTTTGCAAAGACGAGTGTGAGATCCTGGAGAACGACCTGTGCAAAACAGAGTACATCATCGCACGCTCCAACCCCATCATCCTGAAGAGGCTCAAACTGCCCAACTGTGACGAGCTGGCGGCGTTCGACAGCCCTGAGGCCGCCAACTGCCTGAGGATAGGCATCCCTATGGCAGAGCCCATCAACAAAAGTAAGGATCTATACCTGGTCTATAATACACTCTTTCATATTATAGTGAGGCAGAATGTGACCACAACCATGTCACATTTTAGGTATCGTGCTTAACATACATGTCAATTTAAATGCTTCTCGTTTTTCCAGATCACAAGTGCTTCAACAGTAGTGGAGCAGAGTACCGTGGCACTGTGAGCATGACCAAGTCGGGACGCCAGTGTCAGCCTTGGAACTCGCAGTACCCCCACAGCCACACCTTCCTGGCCATCCGCTACCCAGAGCTCAACGGGGGCCACTCCTACTGCCGTAACCCTGGCAACAAGCATGAAGCCCCCTGGTGTTTCACCCTGGACGATCGCGTACGCATGGAGCTCTGTGAAATCCCCATCTGCGGTGAGATAACTTAAAACAAATCCGGAAATAATAGAGGAAGATTTTGTGATGAAAGCGATGATCTCGTATCAGAGATTGAGTGAGAATCAGTGAATATCTGTGAGCGGGCTTTCCATTCTCGACAAACATTTTGGAAATAACTTCCTCCACTCACCCTCCATTTCAGCTCTGCCAATATAGACATATTATACCTGTTTTCCTAAATTGAAAATGGAAGGTGCTGTTTTTTATTATCAAAAGTTATAGTGACATAAGAACATGTTGTTCTGGTTATTATTTCAGATCACAAGGAGAAGTCCAGCAGTGGCAGCATGGAGATCTTGTGGATCCTGATTCCCAGTGTGGCCATCCCTTTAGCCATTGCCCTGTTGTTTTTCTTCATCTGTGTGTGTCGCAACAACCAGAAGACCTCCAGACCGCCGCCCCCGCGTCAACCCAAACCAGTGCGTGGCCAAAACGTGGAGATGTCCATGCTCACAACCCAGTTCAAGCCAAAGGTTGGTAGTAGGACAATGTGCACAATGCTGGCCTTACTGCTATGTCTTACTTATCACAACATATAACCTGTTTTGATGCACATTAGCATTAGCACCACAGTGACGGTGACAATGTATTTTTTATTGACAACAAATGAACAAGACCTGGAAAACCAGGCTTGGTCCAGGCTTGGTTTGTACTTTAATGGAGACCACTGTGATTCTGTCATTGAATCAAAAATCACTCTATACCACTACATCGTTAGCCTGGCCTTAGCCATCCGTACACTCCGCTCAATCATCATTTCACTGCATGTAACGTCTGGGTCTGGTCCCTGTGTTAGCGAATACAATCGGTTGAATTTCGATCCACCATCCAGCGAGCGCGTAAGGAGAGTGTTGTATTTAGTTGTGGGTGACGGCAAGAGTTTGCGTCGAACGTGAAGGTCGTAGTAATGCGATAGTAAAGTAATCCGGTCTGGTTCTATCAAGAAATTGAAGCCGGAGCAAGAGGAATGTTTAGCAAACGTAATCGCTAGAAAAAATTGTGGCGCTATTCCCCACGGGCTCCGTTAACGGCAAAGGAGATGGCTAGGCTAAATGCTAACGACTCACTCGGGCGCATTACATACGTCACGGTAAACTCGGATCCAATCGTTTCAATCTGCAAAAGGAGTTAACCCCTCCCACCTGTAAACGGAGCTCAATGGAGCAACTCCAGACCTTAGTACGAAATGTCATTTGTACTATGGTGTGGTACGACCAGGCTTCTACACCGTGTACTTTTTACCTCTACACAAACATCCATACACTTCAGGCTCCCCTGCCGTGAATCTTCTTTAAAGCAAGCGTCGTCGGGAGTAAAAACAGCAACACAACGTGTGTATGTATGAGTGTGTGTGTGTGTGTGTGTGTGTGTGTGTATATGTGGGATAAGTTACAGCACGCTCAGCCTAACTGCGTTTCTGTGGATATGACCTCTCAGAGCCGTTCAGATCTCTATCGTCAAACCCCCGTGGATCCAGGAATGTTCAGCTGCACTGTTGTTTACACCTCTCCTCTCCTGCCACTTCATCCATCTCACTTTCCAAAGTTTTCATCGACCTGGAAAACACAGTACTTTTAACAGATCGTCTTTGTAATGTCAAGGTTTGCAGGAAAATCCAACTCAACAATGTGTCAGGTGACTGCCTGCAAGATTTCAACTCAGATGATTACAAGTCAATGGAGTCCTGTTAAAGGATTTCTGCAATTTTTCAATTTCTATATAAAAGTAAAGGCTTGACTGTAAAACCAATAAGCAGTGTTGGGAGAAAGTGGACGTAAAAATGTATCAGTTTAAACGTTTTTGCTGCTAAAGTGACTGTTGTATTGTTGGAATTGTGTATCATATCTAGATTCAAGTTTGATTTGCTTGTATAAAAGCTGAGGGACCAAACTTCCAAACCCCCCACAAATGAAACAATGTATGAACATCCATGTCACAAGTTCCTGGCTCTAAAACAGTGAATAGTTTTCAGATTTGTTTAATTTGTGCCTCACTTCTTCACTTTAGATCAGCTGTCAGACAGTAAAGAGAGGACCACCCTCACTCAGCCAATCATATCTCAGCCCAAAGTGTTATATTGTGACACAAGGCTCTTTCTCAAGAATGCAAAGGATGTTTTCTAATAAGATAAAGATGGCATAATATCTGATTTGTTCACAATTTTCTACTTTTACTGTGTAATCTTTGTGTTGGGACAAATAACAAGTTTTGATTATGGAAAAAACAGTTTGTCCTGTGTGTGATTGTAATTTCACCACAGGTTGCTATAAATTGTATGACACTTCTATCAAATAAGATTCAGTACCGGTCATCTGCTCTTTTATCATCCCTCTGCTTCTGTCTCCTCCACCTCTCGTCTTCCGTCACCTCATCCATCCCCTTTTTGTTCTACTTCACGACTTTCTGCCAATGCTCAACACTTGGATCCCTATCCCATTTCCCTTCAAGGCTGTGCACTGCTGTTTATCTTTTTCCACATAATTTTGATGACATTGGAGCGTTTACGCAGACGAAGCAGAACCCTTTCAAGGTAACGCGGGTTGTGTTACCATCACAGACCACGGACTGTGACTGAGGCGTCAAAAGCTGTTAATATCTCGGCTTTATTTTGTTGTCCTGGAGTGGAAAATGTTTTGTCGACCTAGAAAAAGGAGCCTCTCAGTGGGCTGTGTTGGGATTTTGACCTTGTTTCTGTACAAAGTTGACTTCATACCAGATCAAAGCGGCCTCGGTGTCAGCCCTGCTGTTTGGGAGTCATAAAATGCTGTTTAAAAGTGGTCTCCATGAACAACTAAGTCATGAAATATGGTTTGCATTGAACGGCTTTTTTGGGTTGCCAGAGCTGTTAAATGTAATAAGAGGGATTGTTCAGGTTTACAAAGTTGTTCCATGGTTGTTCAGATGCATGCTGTTTTTGCATCGTACTTGGTAACAAAGTATGTGGTGGATGTTTAGTTTGTTTTGTCCATTTCACTACTATAATTTACTATAATTTACTATAATGCTGTGTGCTCCTCTTTCCTACTGTTCTATAACTTGTGATGCAACACTGAAATTTCCCCACTGTGGGACGAACAAAGGATCTCTTAATCTTAATCTTAATCACAGTGCAGAATTGGTTAAAAGAAATGTTTTTGTTTTATTCATCAATTATGTTCTGTTAACTTGCAACAAAAGCCAGTGTCGTTGTTAGTCAACCAAAAAATATATACTGTATCGTATGTATTCATAGATACCGGTAGTTTGGGATGAGTTAATGGGACATGTACAAACGTGTTATTGGATATTGAGTTTGTTTATGGTCTGGATTGCAACTCTTGGATTAGAATATTGAGCGTAGGCACGAATACCTGATGTTTTAGTTGGGAAATGACCACACGGAAATGAATCATATCATTAGATCAGCAGAAGTTGAAATCTCTCTTTGACCAAACCTGGACAATAGTGACTTGTGCTACTTTTATGAAGAATACCCATAGACTGTATATAGATGAACAATGCTAATCTGCTAGTTCAATGAAGCTCTCTCTATTTACATTCAAACCAATTTTACATGTTTTTAGTGGTAGGGGAAACCACATCATCTGGAGGAAACCTACGCAGACACAGAGAGAACATACAAACTCCACACAGAAAGGCCTGGAGGTGGAATCAAACCCAGGACCTTCTTTCCGTGAAACACAAACACCGTCAGTCTTCATGCGATAGGTCTATATCATACATTGGTTTCACATTTTAAGTTGATTTCCAGAAATAAATGGACTTCACCTGTATGCACCAATACAGAAAGTAACCATTTGAAGAACTATAATACACTTTAAGTCTTCAGGCTGAATCAACAACTAATCATCACCACCATTACTCATCTAAAACCACTGCCCTCGCTCCCTTTCCACTGCTGACTGTATAAACTGTAGGACTCCCTTCACATCCGGATGTCCCACAGGTTGTTTTATGCGCCCACAACACACATCTTTAACGGGTTGAGGAGGATCTGAAAGTTTGGGTGTGGAGATTCAGTAAAGGGCCGTAACCAAAAACATCTGCTTCTGTCATGAGCTCGTACCCCCCTTGGAGATCTTACAGCCGGCCGCCAGCTCACGGAGGAATTTCATTATTCATCATTGCATACATTTCCAAGAATCTGCCATCTCTGCCACTCTTTTTATTTCACACGTTATTTTTCCGCACACAATATACACATGTCACAGTAAATCATTTAGTTTATTCAAAAGGAAGCGTGAATTGGCTAATTTTATAAGCTTTTAGATGTGTGCAGTGTTTGCTTGTTAATATCTTGCCCCCACTGTTTCAATTCACTTGTTTCCTGCATGTTTGTGTGATGCTGTATTGTTCTGGCTGGGATTAAAAACATAAAGTTCAAATTAGTTAAATAGCTATTTTTTGTGATTACAAACGCATAAATACACTGCTGGCTATGACTTTTTAGATCAATGTGGCAGCATGTGGTGATGAAAATGTGAAATAATGGTCTAGTTAACTATAAAATAGCCCTAAAAACACAGATTGCGTTAGTGAAGTCAAGACTTTATAGAGATAAAATGTCAAGTCAAATCTGTTCTAATGAATTGCTTTTGATTCTCTGCAGACCAAGACCAAAGAGCTTCCTCTGTCAGCTGTGCGCTTCATGGAGGAGCTGGGGGACTGCCCCCTGGGAAAGGTGTACAAGGGTCATCTGTACCTGCCGGGCATGGACCAAGCCCAACTTGTGGCCATAAAGACCCTCAAAGACGTGTCTAACGTGCAGCAGTGGGGCGAGTTCCAGAAGGTAAAAGCCAAGAACATGTAAAGTGTTGGGAAAGTAAAGTGTAATTGTCTAGTTTAGCATACGCACCAGCAGACTGTTTTGAACATCGTGATTCTTTGCCCATTCCAGGAGGTGTCTGTTCTGACCGAGCTGCAGCACCCTAACGTGGTGTGTCTTCTGGGGGTGGTGACGCAGGAGCAGCCGGTCTGTATGCTCTTCGAATTCCTTCCCCGGGGAGACCTCCACGAGTTCCTCATCATGCGCTCGCCTCACAGTGATGTGGGCTGTAGTAGCGACGAGGACGGAACAGTCAAGTCCAGTCTGGATCATGGAGACTTCTTACACATGGCCTCACAGGTAGAGTCCCTGTGCTGCTGTCATGACTGCTAGATTCAGTTTGTCATTGGACACAGACATAAACACCAAATCCTTTTCCTCCAGGTGGCTGCTGGGATGGACTACCTCTCCAGCCATTCCTTTGTCCACAAAGACCTTGCAGCTCGGAACATCCTGGTTGGAGAACAGCTTCATGTGAAAATATCAGACCTGGGTCTTTCCAGAGAGATTTACTCTTCAGACTATTACCTCATCCAGCCAAAGACCCTGCTGCCCATCCGCTGGATGCCCCCCGAGTCAATCACCTATGGCAAGTTTACCTCAGAGTCTGACATTTGGTCCTTTGGAGTTGTGCTCTGGGAGGTGTTCAGTTATGGCCTGCAGCCGTACTATGGATTCTCTAACCAGGAAGTGATGGAAATGGTCAGGAAGAGGCAGCTGCTGCCCTGTCCAGAGGACTGCCCTCCAAGGTATAACAGAATGCATGTTTATGGTTGTTGCATGGTGACTTTGGTGTTAAGTGTGTCAATTATGCCCCAGGTTTTACGGTCTGATGACGGAGTGCTGGCAGGAGGGGCCAGCTCGACGTCCTCGGTTTAAAGACATCCATGCTCGCCTCAGAGCCTGGGAGGGTCTGTCCTCTCATGCTAGCTCCAGCACGCCCTCTGCTGGAGGGGGAAATGCTACTACACAGACCACGTCTTTGAGTGCCAGCCCTGTGTCAAACCTGAGCAACCCACGGTATGCTGCAGCTCCACCAGGGGCGTACCTGTACCCCGCTCAGGCTATGGCTGGCCCAGGGCAGATGGCTCCTATGCAGGCCTGGACTCCCATGGCAGTGGCCCAAACCCACCAGCGCTTCATCCCTGTGAATGGATACCCCATCCCCCCGGGATACGCAGCCTTCCCTGCCCACTTTGCTCCCCCTGCTCCGCCCAGAGTCATCCAGCACCACCTGCCCCCTCCTAAGAGCCGCTCTCCCAGCAGTGCCAGCGGCTCCACCAGTACAGGCCACGTGAGCGGAGTGCCCTCCACCACTGGTTCCAACCACGATGCTAATACTCCCCTCCTGTCCCATTGCATCATGCCAGGCAGCGGGGGGCCGCCACAAATGTACACAATGTCCCAAAAGATGGCAGGACAGTTGGAGCACACACAGACATCTCTGCTGTCCGGAGACTCTGACATAATCATGTACAACGACAATGTGATCACAGCAGACCTGTAGAGAAAGAGGGAGGACTCCTTTAGACTGTGGGACCAGACACTGCCCTGGTCCAAACATGTATTTTAACCTTTGTAAATATGGTATATGTGGCTCCAATGAACCCGTGAATGGATTACATAAGTATATATTCAAAAGAATGTTTTATTGTATGTATTGTCTCTTCAGTTTTCCCATTTAGGTTTAGTGACGAGCCACTGCCAAGTTTGTAAAACACTCGTCTCATGCAGGATTACTTAACACTACAGAAGGTTCATTTGGACTTATCCCTGTCTCTTAATTCTCTAGATATGACAACTGAATGTTTTTGATATTTGCAGACTGAAACATAGATCTTAAATGAGTTGGACTGTTGAAGGCTTGGCTGAATAAACATGTGCCTATATGTGCTCTGGTGTGAATCTGAAATGCCACAGCAGTGCAGACACAGGAGCTCCTGTTTAACACAATATTCACATCTGTCAATCAGTCTGCTGGATTGTTCACAAAAAACTGTTGTATTTTCTTGTCTCTTTTCTCCAAAAAAGTGTTCGCTGAATGAATTTTGAAGGATTTTCGGCCCCTGTGGAAAAAAAAAAATCAAACAAGTTCAACATATACTACCTAAATTAGTTTATTTTGTTTTTATTTTATGGTTGGGATTTGTTTGTTTTTCAGAAGAGCGTTTGAAATATATTTAATTTATTGTATTTGCCCACAAAAGATCTGTGTTTGATGTGAACCAGGTTTATGGAGGTAAACTATTTTGTTTTTACCTTGTTTCAAAACTAGACTATAATTTACACACTTCATACAAACATGCATTATTCAATTTACTTTGACGTCAAGAGTCTTGTCATAATTGAATAGATGTGAAGTTTCTAGTTTTGCTTTAAATAAAATGCAGACTTCATGTTTCAGTGTAAGCACTGTGTAAACAATGGAATTATTGTGCATGGAATTAGTCGTCATGAATATTTGTTGGGATTACTACCTATTAAAAGTTCTTTCCTTTGTCCATTTGCCCGCTGTTCGACGTCAGATTGATGTCTTTTGAATACTCCCTCTTTACTTTTATTTCACAAGAAACTGGGCTACCTGACTAACCACAAGACCCCCTTCCCATCATGAAAAGGATTAATGTGTGAAAACCACTTGGACACAAGGCTGTGAAACTGGACTACATGTTGCATGTATCTTTAAATGACTTCCCCTAAGAATCAAAATGTATGTTTTCTCTTGTTGGTTCAAACCACAAACGGTTTACATGAGAAATCCTTTGACCCAAAGAGGCCTTGTCTTTGTATTTGTCTGAACATTTTTGCACAGATGTTTTATTTGTATTTTAAGTCTTTTATTAAATGATGTTGTTTGGATTAACCAGCTGTCCTCGTCCATTCATTCCACTGTAATAGCAAAGTAGTTCAACAAGGTGTCTCTAAATCCTAAAAAGTTGGTGGTTGAGCGATAATAATGCAGTAACATGGGATAAACAGCAGATGGCGCCGTGTGAACAGCAAATGGATGTGATTTTTGTCCAGTTCAAGCAGTGGCACAAAAGAAATCTCTCATTGATCAGAAAAAAAAAGATGTGATTTGGCTGGTGGTACAATCAATCAGACCTTAAAAAAAAGAACAAAATTAAAACCTCTGCTTCTTCTCGCATTGACACCTTTTTTACTTGATACCTTATTATTGCAACTAACAAGTCCTGGGTTCGATTCCGCCTCCAGACAGGGCCCTTCAGACTGGAGTTTGCATGTGTTCCTTGTGTCGGCATAGTCTTCCTCCGGGTGCTTCACTACCACTAAAACATGTTAATTGCTCCCCTCTCAGGCCTGGACTTCACTAAAAAAGATATTCTGAAATCTCATTCCTGGTTAATTAACGGTTGATAACAAAATAAATGCATTTCCTCACACTAAAAGGTAAAGAAGTTAAAGGTAAGGAATAAAGGTAATCTTGTCTTCACGTCTCAATGGGGCCATTGTGAATGAGGAAGATCACAATAGTATGTCCGTTGTGGTTGATGATCACAATTTAGGTTTATTAAACTGGTACAGGTAATGAACATTTTAAGCATAACTAGACTGTATTCAATTCCAATTACCATTTTGTATTAATGGATTGCAAGGGTTTTTTTTGTTAAATGATTTGTACATTTGTTAAAGATTTAAAAACAAAGTTTAAAAAAATGCAGTAAGGCCCATATAGCTCCACGCCCCATGTGCGTATCCACGGACCTGAGAGCTGTGTATGATGGGATTCTAGAGACTGTAGTGTGTAAATGGAATAATTTTATTTGTCATTTCCAGTAAAACCACATTGGAATACATTTGCAAAAGTCCAGTGTGCACAAGTACAGAAATAAAACAAGATTAAAAGTAGTGTTTTCAAACACAATTGACACAGTGAAATTGATCAACAAAAACAGTTTCAGGAAGGACAGGGACGAGGAGACGGGCAGCTCACAGCTCACAGTCCTCTTTCAGAGCGGAGCACCTTGTTTAGAGCTCTCCTTTCTTTGGCTGTGATGTCACCAAACCACGCAGTCACAGAACCAACACACAAACTTTCAAGGATGCAGCGATAAAAGTTATAAATTCCCTACGTTTCTCCAGAAAGTAGAGATGCGGATGAGCTTTCTTAAACTGTGACGAGCCATAAACGTTTCCAGCTTTGCTCTAGTTCCTGCTTTGAACTAGACCAAAGGTTTAAATTACAGAGTTTAAACACATTATTTGAGGTATAGGAGTCAACGGGTTCAGCAGGGTCTGGGCATGCAAATTCATATTGTGTCAATATTACCAGATTATTTATGTATGTATTTGTCCATGTCATCTTATTATAAGTTTGTCTATACGTTTGTGCAGCATGAAAAACAAGAACAGAAGGAAGAATTTCTATGCATATATATATATATATATTGTGGGGTGACAGTGGCTCAGTTCGGTTACGCCTTTGAGCCTGAAGGATGTGGGTTCAAGCCCACCATACGACTCCCACTGATGACTGCTGTCGTTGTGTCCTTGGGCAAGACACTTAACCCCACTTTGCCTGAAGCTCCCACTGAAAGATCTCGGCTCCTGTGGACTCACCACCTGCTGGAGGATCAGTGAGGGGCTGGTGCTCTGTGTACTGGGTGCAGCTCTGACTTGTTTTGTCGTTAATAATTTGAGAATCAAAACGAGACCTTTTTTAGTTCTGCGGCCACATGGTACTTTACCAGTGAGATTAGCTCGACGTGGTGAGTTCTGGCGCCCGGATCACAGATTTTCTGATTGGTAAAACGATGGAGGGCGGGGCATCGAAATGAAAACAATAACAAGATTTAGGAGCTGTAAAACTCATTTTGAAATCCAAATATCTCGGCTGAACTACTGTTATCAGTTAAAGAAGTATTTGAAAAGAGCATGGTTTATTCATGCCTTTTGACAGATTAGGGCCATTTAATGATGACTTGACATGAAAATCTTAGATATTGCTACTTTAAAGCCCACCATTCCCTGAAAATAAGAAGTGAGATAAGAGTCTGCAGTCTCTCAGTGACAGTGTGTGGAGAGAGGGAGAGGTACAGTGGGGTACAGAGGGGTACAGTGGGGTACAGTGGGGTACAGTGGGGTACAGTTTCACTCCTCTCCCTGTGTGAATCTCCTGGACACAGATCTGGAGCGGAGGAGCTGACAGAGCGTCCGTGACCTCTGCTGTCTGTCCGGCCTCACACTCTCCTTTCACCAGAGGCTTTGAAGTGACACGACTGAAGCTGTAAGAGGAGCTCTGACTGCAAACATCAGGCAAAATAATCACACTGAGAATACCTATAGCATCGCAGTCTGCATACACTGGAAAAAGTCAAAAATAAAAAAGAGACCATAGCAACACTTTACTTGCAGCAGTTTGCATTAATCCTTTCAAACTGTATTGGCTGAATTTCAAGTCATGTTTACCAGTTTGAGCACTCAGTAAAAGTGAGTAAAGGACAAAAAAAGAACAAAAAACCTGGCTGGGTTTTTTTAATCATAATTTCTGATAATGTATGGTAATGTATCCATCTACTTTTATTTTGACCGTTTTACAACAACCGGCTCAGGGACTACAGCTGTAAACTAGCACCGCTGCTACAACCTGGAACAATGCATCTCAACCACAGGGCCTTTATCCCACTGCTGTCAGACTGTACAACAAGTCACTATATGTCACCCATGCACTAGGACTGAAAACCTGCACTGCTTTTCCCACTCTTTCTTTTATTGCCACTTTAATATTGTACATAATTACATCCTGCACAGACTATATTTTTAACTTTTAACATATTGCACCCTTCTGTCTTTTGCACAATCTGAGTGACTCTATCCATGCCAAATGTGACATGTACATTTTTCCAGTGTGAGATCAATAAAAGATTTCTAAAAAGTCTATCATATCATACCATACCATATACCAATCCATACCATGCCATACCATACCATACCATTCCATTCCATTCCATACCATACCATACCATTCCATTCCATACCATGCCATTCCTTACCATACCATACCATTCCATTCCATACCATACCATACCATACCATTCCATTCCATACCATACCATTCCATACCATACCATACCATTCCATTCCATTCCATACCATACCATTCCATACCATACCATACCATACCATTCCATTCCATACCATTCCATTCCATACCATACCATACCATTCCATTCCATACCATGCCATACCATACCATTCCATTCCATACCATACCATACCATTCCATACCGTACCATACCATACCATTCCATACCATACCATACCATACCATACCATTCCATTCCATACCATACCATTCCATTCCATACCATACCATTCCATTCCATACCATACCATACCATTCCATACCATACCATACCACATACCATACCATACCAATCCATACCATACCATACCATGTACACCATACCAAACCATACTATTCCATACCATGCCATACCATACCATACCACATACCATACCATTCTATACCATACATTCTATACC